GAATGCCAACATTTCGTGAATCTTGCAATTCACTTCATCGGGGCGAGGAGCAACTTGATACTGAACTGTTTCTCGGGATCGTTCCTTTTTTATATATTACGCTACTTGTGGAGTGGTGGAGGGGAAGAAGAGAATTGTGGATGGGAGAGTGGAGAGAAGGGTGGGGGAAATCGATCAGTCCTCATTAACCGGGAGAATAGTTTTCCATATTTTATTTATGTTGTGGCCATTATCTTTATTTAGATTGTTAGGGTGTTTTTGTATCTCTATGGCTTCTCTACTTTCTTGGAAAATATGTAATGTTGACTATTGTGATTGTTTTGTCAAACAGTATTTGGTGTCGATATTGTGTTCTGATTGCGTGATATATTTTAACCTAACATCACGTTGGTGTTCTTTTATCCGTAAATTGAAACATTGGCATTCCAAGAATGGATTTGGACACAGAAGAAACCCGCGAAACGCATAATCTTTATATTTTATAAATAGTTGAACCTCCAATATGAAAATTCCATGCTTGAGTTTGCATGTTAGAATTAGCAAGATATCCATTCAATAAAATAAAGGATTTAATCTTTGTGCAATTTAATCTTGATCAAAATCGGGAATGTCCCAATTGCGCATATTATCAGACATAGCAGTATTTCCCAATCGGACATACAACGTTGCATGCGGAATCGATTGCACACAGATCCGATTGCGGACAGACCCCATTCCACACCGACCCGATTGCACACAGACCTGATTACGCACGAATCCAATTGCACATAGACTGTTCTCATACCCCAATGTCTTTATGGGTTAGAAACTCTACATACTCTAATCTACAGACACTGTCTACACTTCTAGGCGATTAGGCCCTAAGCGGATAGGATACATTATTTTTTTTTGTTGCATAATCACTCCGAATCAATAAGTACTAGTCTATACACCCCACTGTCTACATAATAGATTTTCTAATCTCAACAACAGTACAATTATAGAAATTGTGCACCACTTTGCAGGGGGAGAGGGAGGTCGTGAGAGACGCTTCGCATGGATATATAAACACTTATTTATGTTTTTTCATCATCTACTAATATTTTCCCTGTTTTTTCAATCATTATTGCATCTGATTGAGTTTGTGCAATTGGATCGTGCGCAATTGGATCATACGCAATCGAGTCCGTGCGCAATCGGGTCCGTGTGTAATCGAGCCTCAAGCAAATACGAATATATACCAATGTTATGTATATGCGAACAGACTCTGATTAATTAATTTTTTGTCGTAAAATATAGGTACACCAAGTTCTTCGAGGGAGTGGTTCAATTGCGCATTATAGCAATTGCCCACTGCCAATCACAGCGATACTGTAGCTTCCGTACAGACAATTTTGATGGTCACATTCTATTCTTCTATTAGAAGATCGACGAAAAAATTAAATATTCTCTGTGAATATCTTAGCCTGCTTCCTTAGCTTCAGACCTTCTCAACTGTCGTCTTTCGTCCTTGCGACATAGCCTAGCCAGTAGACGAGTCTGTCGGAGAGTGGGTTTTTAATCCATAGAGTTTTGTTACGAAAACCTTTCGTGCATTTTCACAATAATGCATTCATTATTCTTTAATATCTGAAAAATGTAATAAAAATCCACAAAGCATTTGTTTTTTATTTAGCAATTCGTATACTTAGGTATAGGAAAAAGAAAACTTATCTGAAATGCCACAATGTTAGTCTCCTAGAGACTTGCTGAATAATATTTATTTATTACTATACTTTCTCGCACTTCACACCAAGATCCATATATCCTATTATCACCGTTTTTTTTCACGGAGATAAAAATACTTAAGTTATTTAAAACTTCCCAAAATTCATCAGGTTATTTCATCTTTATGTCAAAAATTATACAGGGACATAAGATTTAGTCATGTCGTTAATTGCGCACGGACTCTGAGCATTAAAAAAAGATGATCATTTCTCAATTTATAAAAATTTAAAACATTAAAGGTGCTTTTTCAGACTGACGCTCGACGCTCATTTTCGGTGTCAAAATAAGTCACATGATAGAAATTGATGAATATCAAGCATCAATTTTAATCACATGATTTATTTTGACGCTGAAAATGTGCGTCGAGCGTCAACATAAAAAAGCATCTTATATGTTGCGTATAAGTACAATACATATAAATTTTACATTCGCAAATACATGGCAAAGCACATACATCCAATTGATTACGATAAATTCGAAAAAAGTATTGGTCAATATTCACAGATATATTCAATTTACAGTTGATGTTGATAGAAACGTGTAAGATTTTGTAATAGAAACTTTACGAATACATCCAAATATATGTTAATAATTTCTCATAAATTCGAATAAATCTTATATATGAATTTATCGGTTTCTATTGAGAATTTCCGGCAGAGTTAAAGATTAAAGATGTTAAAATCTTATGAAATTAGTTTTAATGTGATTTTAACTAATGAAATAAATATAATAACTTGTAATTGATTGCGCAAAGTCTGCAAAGCGCTCATTACGCTGCATAGATATTGGGAATTCACGTTTCAACGCAACAAGAATGAGGGTGCCGTCACATGAAGCGTAATCTGCGTAAATATAATCTATACATTCTAATAATATTAGAATACGTTTATTTTATTTACTAGAATACGCCATTCTAAAAACTGAGATTCACATTAGCCGTATTTCGCTAAGATTAGAGAAATGCGATCTAAACAAATTTATGATTGATTTTCGTAACCTATATATCTCGAAAAGTATGCCTCATGGAGAACCGGCATCTTTCCATCGCGTCTATATAAGTGGATGATCGAATCAATTGTTATAATTAGAAAGTCTTGTGAGATTCTTAAGCTTATTCGACGCGTTTTTACATGAAACGAAAGAATCTGACAAAAAAATACGTCGCTCTACCCAAGATATTAAGCGTTAAAGTTAACTATTGAATTTAGGAAATCTGTCACAGAGGCAAAATGAGGTCTAATTATTTCACTATATTATTCCACATTTCGATTAATTAGACTTTCCACGTCAAAGGGATGTACGACTTCTATAATTGTACTGTTGCAAAATCGAAACTCATGCATGTGCATTTTTTCAGACAGAATAAGCTAAAATAAGCCAGAAATTGAATTCGATGCATGGTAATTCCATCATGTTTCAGCGTAACAACAAAATAGCGTAAAAAGCATAAAGTAACTAGGCAGAAATTGTTGATGTTCAAGTAAAACAATATGGTTGGTCAATGCAAGTTATGCTTACGTAAGTTACGCCGCATGTGACGGCACCCTAACGGAATTTGTCAGCACATGCATATGCATATTAACACACAGATATGTGCGTATATTATGCATAAAATTTATAGTAATAGAAAGGGAATAGCCTATCCAATCAATAAATGGAAATGGGAATAGCCTATCCAACCAATAAATGGAAATGTGAGTGACTGAGAGACAGAAGTCTATTTTTGTCCTGCTCAGTAATTTTTCTTCTTTCTGCACATGTATCAAAAGAGGATAGAAGAGAATAGAAAGATATTTCTGTTCTTTACATCTTGCTAAGTTCAAAAGATCTCTAATTCTAAAGATTAGAAAAGGACGAAGAGTAAATTGAACCGAGATTAAAGTTAATCTACATTGGTGGAAACGGTGGAAATATAAAAGCTTCAAAAGAAAGATTCATATTGATTTGCGAATTTATACGAATGCTGAGCGAAGACCCGGATAAACAAAGCAATAATTGTGTCTAGCAGTAGAGGGTCGATTCTGTATCTTCAAATAAGGTGAAAATTACAAAAGAGCAAATTTACTAGGTGTTGACCAATGAAATAATCATTCTAGTAAATTCGCTCACTTTTATAATTTTCTCATTTCAAGATACAGACTCGAGCCCTAGGTGTTCGAGCTTTTAAGAGATGGCGTTGCAATATGTTAGATAAGGACAGCGTTAATTTACATTGATGGAAATGAGCATTAATCTTAATTTCATAAACTCAGTGGGTGCGTTCGGAGAGACGCTATTTGCGCTATTTATTAGCTACAAACTGTTAGCTACAACTTCGCGGAGCTGTAGATAGCGCTAACAAATACGATCATGATCACTAATGGTAGTGTTACGTCACAACTGCGCGTTATCAACGCTATTCCTTCCGAGGTAGCATTAGCGTTTACAAATCCGTGAACGATCCTAGCGTAGCTAGGACTTTAACATTCGTCAGTTAGATGTTTGAATTTGATTTTTTCATTAATGTTTGAAGGGGTTCTGTTCTCGAATGATACCAAACTTTTCTCTCTTAGAATTTCGTAGAGTAAACATACATACGTAATGTGTGAATTTCAAATTTTATCATAATGAATGCAATCTCAATTTTAATCTCTGCTGATGGCTTACCACTAGACTGGAGTGAACGTAATTCTTGTTTGTGTATCATCTTTAACTCTTCAAAGTTTCTGCGAAGTTCAACTTGTGTATTTGATTTCATTATAAATGTGAAAATCAGAGATACCTTGTTACTGGAATTTTTAATTCCCATGTATGGAAAAAAATTACTATTGCGGTATAGCGCGGCAGGATATTCCGCTGCTTAAGATATATAGATGCTTAAGATACTTATTAGATGTAAATATGCTTCTTCTTTTGAAATCGACAAATGGTTCTTCTTTTTATCTGATTAATTTACTTAGTATAACTATTAATTAATAATAAATATTAGTATAACTATTAATTTTTTGATTTAGTTTTCATTGTTCACTTCGGCGTAGCGGCAAGCTATAGAGATTGCAATTGAGATTGCATTCTGTTATTCTTTCTCTACGAGAAAATAAAAAATTTACGTTACAAATATTTTTAAATAATTTTATCTTTAAATACAAAATCTTAAACATAATTTTTAATCATAAGGAAAAGTTTGATTAGTGATTGAAAACAGAATCCCATTAATTAACTTAACCTCGACGAATATATCTCTCTGGTTAAACGCTACCAACGCTACGCTAGAATCATTCATAAAAGCTTGCTAACGCTATTGCGCTATTGGCTCCAAGAACAACGTTGGTAGCGTTTGCATCTATAGCGCGAATAGTGTCTCTCCGAACGCACTCAATATTGTACACTATCGGTGTGGTCCATACAAGCTGTAATAAAACTTTTGTATTAAGAAAACATCTACATCAGGTGACAGCTCTACGAATTGAAAAGATATAAATTTTGAATTTTTTTTCCGATTTTAGTGCAAAATATATTGCATCATACCCAAATTTTGCGTCTTTAATCCTGCCTAGTCCTGCATCTACTTTAAGCTACTATCAGACTACCGATATTGGATCAATCACATTATCACATTATCTTATTGTGATTGGTCCATTATTAGCCAGCAGTTGGCAGTCGTGTCGGTTTGCAGAGTCAATAATCTGAAACGGGTTTTAAGGAGATCCTAAAGCCATCTGTATTACCGACTAAATTGTATAATTTTTGTATAATAAATACTTTTTCTCTTTCACAAATTCGAAAATCCTTTTCCAAGATTAAAGTATACGCATTAATACGTGTTTGTTGAGGTGGAGATGCCGAAAACAACAAAAAATTTCGAAATTGATATATTTTCATCATTTCTTAGACTGATAGTCGATTCTTATATTTGAGGTTGTTTTAAATAAAGTCTTAAAATGTTATAAGCCAATCAGAGAGTCGTATTAGCATCTTAAGATATTACTTAAGACGATCTTAAAATAAGAACCGCTATGAATATCTAGTGTAACATGGCATTTCAAGTTGTTAAATCGTAACATTTGCTTGATATGAAAGTTTTACAATCTGTACTTACGAAATAGTAATTCACAAACACATAGTTTATACGAACAAATAAGTTCGAGTTCTTAGAATTAAACTTAGACGCTTTATCGCGATGAATTTATTATACGAAATTGACATGAATTTGCGATTGCGTGCGTATAGATTGCGTGAGATATTGGTAATATACAAAAATGTCGATGCGCGACCTCTGCTGACTTCGAGCTTCGTTTTAGTTTCGCTTTTGGCCAATATTACATATGTTCGTTTTTTGTCATATGTATATACGACGAATTTTTCAAGCGTGTTAATTGGCTGTAAGACAGAGAAGATCTCGGACCTCTATCCTATAATCAATTGAAAAACTTGAAAAATTTGACGTATGACAAAAAACACTTGCATATAATATTGACCTTTCTATCCTAGAGATAAAGTTTCATGATTGATACCCCAGTATGGATAGTACAATCTAGGAAATTCTTAGCACTATCAAAGCGCTTCTAATGCGTGCATTAATTAAATCAGAACTTTCTATGCACTAGTCTACACGTTACATACATAATTCAGAACCTTAAATATATCGTGAATGAATAATTGGAATGATAGTTGATTTTTTATCAAAAAAATGCATGTATAAATTGTTTATTACATATCAAGTCAGTAGAAAATTTCATTTCTATAAATTATATTCTGTACATCTTTTATTTTCATATTTATTAAAACATTGTTCTGGCATATCCAACAAAAAGACAATAGAAAATTTATTAAATTCTAATTTCAATTGAAAAACATACAAATGTCTGTTAGTTAATCGAGAATACTTTATTTCCATATA